CGACCTTCGCCCACGGTCACACCCAGCCCTGGAAGGGGCACAGCAGTGGGGCCAGGCCCAGGGGCAGCACTTCCTGATTTAGCAGAGCTAAGTGCATGGGGCCCATAGGTCAGGGTGGGCTCCAGCGTCTTTGCCACAGCCCCAGCAGAGAGGCCTGGGCACGCAGCTGAGCCCAGGGGAAGGGCGTGCTCTGCGCTCAGAGGATTTCAGGCCCCAACCAGAGCCAGCAGCTACCACGCCCCTGCCACGGAAAGCCTGGCCCGGCTCCGTGGGCAGCAGCTGTCCAGGAAGGCCGGATCCTGTAGGCAGAACAGCCGCAGGTCAGGCCAGAGGCAGAGCTAACCCCACTTGGGGCCCTGGGCCAGGGCTTGGTGCCAACCTCCCCAGCGTCTCTTATGCTCACTCCCAGCAGCCCCAGTGACTCAGCACCGCCTGGGCCCTGCTTACGCAGTGACAGCTCTGGCCACGTGCAAGAGCCGTGCCCCGGTCCCTGCTGACGAGGGGCCTGAGTGACAGGAGGCTCCCCACCCACCCCCTCTAAGGGCTTGAGTCAGACCAGGCACTGCAGTGCCCATGCAACGCGGCTAGGCCCAGCGTAGTGGGGGGAGGCCCAACCCGCTGCTCCTCGCGCCAGCCCCTCGTCCCTGTCCGTGGCATGCAACCGTCTACCTCCCCGCAGGTACAATGGGGGCACAGCAGCCTCCACGCACAGGCCCCAGTGCCCCCCTCCCTGCCCTGCCAGGTACCAGCCTTGGCAGCTGTGGTTTGAGTTTCACCAGGGAGCTGTGCCCAGGGAGAGGGGGCAGGACGGCCTGGCCCCCGCAGACAGCTCTGTAAATATGTAAATAGCTGTAAATACAGACGGTTTTTCCGTGTTCTTTACCCGACTGCAACAGCTCCGAAGGGCTATCGCGTCAGACCACGGCCATACGGCGCAGGGGACGGAGGTGCAGCCTTTGTGACCCAGGGCACTGCCCCCAGCCCCGTGCCCTGCTCACTCGTCCATGGGCCCTCAGTCCTCCCCCCACCCCTGGCAAAGACACAGCCTGGCCCCAGCCCCCTCCCCTTAGAGAGATACCCCAAATCCAGGCACCTGCCCCGACTCTGTGAACACCCACCAGCCCCTTCAGAGCCTCCAAGAACAGTCCAGTGCAGGCTCCTGGCTCGGACCCTAGCCAGACGCGGCTACCTGAGAGGAAGGGGCAAGAACCACTACTAGCCGCTGTGGGACTCTGCC